TAGCCTTATTGCTGATAAGGAGAAAGTGAGAGAGGAGCTGGGTTTAGACTCAAAGGCTGGGCTCAGACACCAGAACAAATTGAGGACTAGCTAAAGCAGGGATGGAGGGGAAGCAGCTTTCCAAAAGACATGCTCACCAGTATGCCATGTCAGTTTACCACTGCCATGGCAACACATTGGGAGGCCAAGGCTGACAGATCACTTAAGGCCAGGAGTTTGAGACCAGCCTGGCCCACACAGCAAAACCCATGTCTACTAAAAATACAAAAATTAGCTGGGTGTGATGGCATGCACCTGTAATTCCCAGCTACTTGGGGTGCTGAGGCACAGACTTGAGCCTGGAAGGCAAAAGTTACAGTGAGCCAAGTCTGGGTGATGGAGCAGGACTCTGTTTCAAAAAAAAATAAAGAAACAGAAGTTATCACTCCTATCCATGGCAACAACCCAATGACCCTGAAGTTACCACCCTTGTTTTAGAAATTACTACATAATCTGATCCTATGTATATGTATAATTAAAAGTGGGTATAAATATGACTGCAGAACTGCCTCTGAGCTGCTGCTCTGGGCACACCATTTCAAGTGTCCCGGCTCCACAAGGAGCAGTACCTCTGCTGCTGCTGCACACTGCCACTTCAATGAAAGTTGCTGTCTAACACCACTGGCTAACCCTTAAATTCTTTCCTGGGTGAAGCCAAGAACCCTCCAGGGGTAAGCCCCAATTCTGGAGCCTTAGTGGTCCTGTTAGAAGATTTAGTGGTCCAGATAAAAGATTAAATCACCCACAACATTCCTGTAAGCCAAAGCCTAATCCAGGGCAAGGCCCTTAACTTTCAGAAAGGTGAGGAAGCTCAGAAAAAACGTTTAAAACTAGCAGAGGTGGGTTCACGATGCTTAAGGAAAGAAACCATCTCCACAACACAGAAGTACAAAGTGAGGTAGCAAGTTCTAGAAGGTCTAGCTAAGATCATGGATAAAGGTGGCCACACCAAACAACAGATTCTCAACGTAGATGAAATGGCCATATAATAAAAGAAGATGCCATCTGTGACTTTTATAGCTCACTAGGAGAAGCGATGCCTGGCTTCATAGCTTCAAAGGACAGAGTGACTCTTTCTTAGGGGCGAATGCAGCCAGTGACTTTAAGTTAAAGCCTATGCTCATTTACTATTCTGAAAATCCTGCGGCCCTTCAGAACGATGCTAAATCTCTGCCCGTGCTCTATAAATAGAACAAAAAAAAACCAGATGACACATCTGTTTACAACATGGTTTACCGAACATTTTAAACCCACTGTTGATTCCAGCTGCTCAGAAAAAAGGAATTCCTCTCAAAATATTACTGCTCATCGGCCAGCTGTGGTGGCTCACACCTTTAAGCCCAGCACTTTGGGAGGCCAAGAAAGGTGATCACTTGAGGTCAAGAGTTCAAGAGCAGCCTGGCCAACATGGTGAAACCCCATCTCTACTAATAATACAAAAATTAGCCAGGCATGTTGGCTCATGCCTGTAATCCCAGCTACTCAGGAGGCTGAGACAGGAGAATCGCTTGAACCCAGGAGGTGGAGGTTGCAGTGAGCCAAGATCACATCACTGCACCTCATCCTGGATGATGACAGAGTAAGACTCCATCTCAAACAAACAAACAAAAAATTAATGCTCACTGACAATACACCTGGTCACACAAGAACTATGATGGAGACATACAAAGAGATTAATGTTCTCATGCCTGTTAACACAACACCCATTCTGCAGCCCATGGATCAAGAAGATATTTTGACTTCAGAAATACATTTTGTTAGGCTCTAGCTGCCATAGACAGTGACTCCTAGGATGGATCTGAGCAAAGTAAATTGAAAACCTTCTGGAAAGGATTCATCATTCTAGATGCCAATAAGAACATTCATGATTCATGGGAGGAGACCAAAATATCAGTATTAATAGAAGTTTAGAAGATTATTCCGGCCCTCACAGATGACTTTGAGAGGTTCAAGACTTCAATGGAGGAAATAACTGCAGGTAAAGTAGAAATAGCTAGAGGATTAAAATTAAAAGGGAGCCTGAAGATGTGACTGAATTGCTACAATCTCATTAACAAACTTGAACAGATGAGGAGTTGCTTCTTATGGATGAGCAAAAAAAGTGGTTCCTTGAGACAGAATCTACTCCTGATGAAGATGCTGTGGACATTGTTAAAATTACAAATGATTTAAAATATTACATAAACTTATTTGATAAAACAGCAGCAGAGTATGAGAATTGACTCCACTTTTGAACGTTCTACTGTGCATACAATGTTATCAAACATGATTGCATGCTACAGAAAAATCTTTGATGAAAGAAAGAAGCCACTGATGTGGCAAACTTCATCGTTCTCTTATTTTAAAAATTGGCATAGCCACTTGAACCTTCAACCACCAGCTTCATCAGTCAACAAACATCAACATCAAAGCAAGACCTTCCACCAGCAAAATGGTTACAACTCACTGAAGGTTCAGATACTTGGTAGTATTTTTTTAACAATAAAGTATTATTAAGAAAAGCACAAGTTTTGAACACCTAATAGACTGAAGTAAAAGTAAGCATAACTTTTACATTGACTGTGTGTCTTGCTTTATTGCAACGTTCACTTTATTGCAGTGGTCTGGAACTAACTTGCAATATTTTGGAGGTAGGCCTGTACAAGAAAAATGAACATATGTGATCCAGGAATTACAGCTTCAAATCAGCAGAGGAATAAAGAGAATTTCTAAGGTGACAGTTGTAAAATAGGCCTGTGGGGAAATCTGTACATACTGGAAAATACAGTGCTCCAAAAGTAAGAGGTGGAAGTAGGAGGCAGAAGGAAAACAAGAGTACCTTGAAGATCTGATACTTTAAGGTACATAAACTTAATGCAGGTGGTGCAAGGAAATAGGCTGGCAATCTAGGATGCAAGAAATTGAAATCACAATACTATAGGCCCTCCTTGCAACAATCATTTGTGGATAAAATCCAGCCAGCCAAAAGGCAAATCAAAATGAAAAGTTCAAGAAAGATAAACTGAATAAAAGTGGCTGCAGTAAGGACCACTAAAGCAAATCAAGCACAAAACTAACACTAAACACTTATGATAAATTAAGGGCACTGAATCCAATGCAAGTAAACTTGGCAATATTAAAAATGATAAAACCATCATTTTAACAGGGGAAGAGGAGGTGGGAAAATGTGTAAGAGTGCTAACCTATTCTTTAAAAGCAAAGACATTCAGTAATCTATAATTGAAATATAGAGTTCTTAAAAACATTAACCGTTTAATTTTTTAAGTAGTTTTTCTTAGAGGATTTTTTTTTAGCAATCAGCACCTCTTGCAATCAAGTAATATTTACCTGAAATTCAACAATTGCTTTTTCTTCTCTCAAATACTAAAATTACTATTTTGTGTTAAAAACAGCATATCTGTAATACAATTCCACTATAATACTCCTCAATTTTCTCTTCTTTCTGTATATCTGTATGTCAAGATGTCTGAAATGTGTGTTTAATGCCATGATAGTCATTTCTATAGTACAGTGGACACTTTGGGGAAGGAATATCTTATATTTTTATCTCATACCCTTCTATTTTGTTTTAATAAATTTACAAGTCACTTTTTAAATGTCAGAGTTTATTTATGTAATGCAATTGTAGTTCTCATTGTTCTTCTTCATACTGATCTGTAATTTTTTAAATAGCTACTATAAGTAATATGTATATAAAAATCCTGCAAGACACATATGATGGCAATAATACAAAAAACTAAAATTTGGATGGAACTTTAACCCATATTATGTCCCTAAAGCCTGCGAAGCAGTTTATCTACATCTCCACTTTACTGAAAAAGAAGCAGGATTAGGGTTGGCAAGCAGGATCTGAACCCAGGCCTGGATACTTAGTATTAATTCCTCAGTACTCAGTGCTAGATTGCTTACATTTCCTAACACTGCCCTTCTTTGGGGGAAAAAATGCAGTCTTCTAAATTACACATGAGTAAATAGGTCAGAATGTTTTTTAAAAAGTATTTCCATTCTTTTCAAAAGGTACAGTCACGGGATTTTCATTTTCCATTTTCAGAGCTGAGAAAACTTTCTTTTCTGTTTTAAAAAGTTGCCTAAGCACCATCTGCTATTCTTGTACCTTCTTCTACACAACACATTACCACCAAGGTTTTTCAGAATTTGCTGAGCCGGCTGCAATTTTTTATTTTTATTTTTTCCTAGAGATGCGGGAGGGGAGGGCTTTGCGGGGGATCTCGCGTTTTTGTTCAGGCTGGTTTACACCTGGCTTTAAGGGATCCTCTGCCTCAGCCTGCCAAAGTGCGGGGCTTATAGGTGTAAACCATTGCACCTGGCCTGCAATTAATTTTTAACAACTGCTATGAATTGCAGTTGATATAAGTTCGTCCTTACAACTTAAAATATCTTATGTCAATCTGTGACAACTCAATCTTCTCTCTAAAAAACTGTAAACTGCACATTTCACATTCTTACTGGAATGTTCCTCTTGAAAACACCTCAAGTCACTTTCAGCTTTAAACATTACAGGCAGAAACTCTCAAAGGAATATGAACCTTCTGGCGTTTTATTTATAAACGTGTGCAGATAACCGTTGCTACGCAAACCTCAGAAGTTCTTTTCCAAGGAGCGCTTAATTTTGAGCAAGGAAAAGGCGGATGCCGGAACCAGCCTTTCCTCTCCCGCCAGGAGGAAAGAAATGAGTAAGAGGAGTGGGCCTGGGGAAGGGAGTTTCGAACTTTACAACCCTAAATGTCAACTATGGTTTTAATAAAACTTTTAAATGCCTAACAATGACTGAAACAGGCAGGCGGGGTAAGGGAGGAGGGCGATGGTGCGAGGGAGCGTTAGACAGAGGAAGCACAGGACTCGGAAAGGAGAGAAAAGACAGGGCTAGGGTGGCACTGCCAAGCAGAAAACGCCTCCGCAGGCTTCCTCCTCTTCCCCCCGCCTTCTTCACTTGACCTCACCTGATCTTCCAGCATCTTGTTCTCCTCGTTCGCCACCGGGATGGCGAACCCATCCTCCCAACGCAGCTCAGCCAGGAATTCACTACTCATGACTGCGAAAGGATAGAAAAGGTGCAGAGCAGAGATCCGCCTTCCCGGACAGCGGGTGGGCAGCACCCGCGTGGAGCCCAGGCACCTGCACAGAGCGGCGGCAATTGCCACGGGAGCCCTAGCAACCGTCCCGCGTCCTTAGTTACCAAACAGGAAGCGCTCCGGCCCGAAGGCGGAACTTCCGGTTTAGACCTCCCCCGACTCCCAGGCTCAAGCCCGAAGAATGTTGTTTTTTTTCCGTTGAGCGCTGAGGGAAGAGCAGCAACTTCTCCCTCCCGGGGTTCCCGGGGGTTGCCAGGCGGCAGCGTCTCTGCATGAAAAGGAGGCTCTCGGATCGCCCCCGAAGCTGGGCCGAGGGCCCGGGGCACCTGGCTGGAACTAAGCCCCACGTCCCCGGTTTCCCGGGGGACGACGGGATCCGGCGGACATCATGCACTGCGCTTCTTTTCCCGTCGAGTTCGCTGGTTTCACAGCAGGTGAGAGCAGGTGAAGGGGCGTTTGCGAGGAGAACTCGGTCCTGGCGTCCTCACCGCGCTCAGCCGCCCGGCGCAGGGCTCCCGGGCCACCGCTCCGGAAGTTAAGCCGAGGCTCCTCGAGGCAAAGTGATTAAAGAAGAGATGTTGTGCATGAATTAATTTTACGTATCCAATAATCACTGTAACCTTTTTTTTTTTTTGCCCTTTCGAAATTTTATTTTACCTAGACTTTGTTAAACTTTTATTATAAATATTTTAAATGTATGAGACTAGAAAGCAGAGTATAAAGAACTGCTATATACGCATCACCTTGATATAGCATTCATATTTTGCCATATTAGCATCTTCTGTATCTTTTGCTGAAGTAAAAGATAACGGTAGACGTCATGACATGACATCCCTATATACTTAAGCGTGTATAGGTAGAAGAGTGGTTAATGTTCTCTAACATAAACACAATATCATCATCACACCTAAAAAAATCAACAATTCTTCAATATCATCTAATAACCATTTCAGATTCACACTTCGACTGTCCTAAAAATGTCTTTTTACAGTCGATTTGTTACTACAGTTCTGAAATCCTCCTTGTAGGAGCTTTGTCTCTCTGTGCCTACATTGTTTTCTATAAACTTAATGTTGCAGACTTAGAAATAGTGCCTTTAAAGACTAGAATTAGCAAGACATATTCCCCCCTCTACAATGTCTAAAGGCTGGGGAGAAAGGCTCAACTTGTAGAAGAAATTTTGACCTGCATGGAATACTGGAATTTTAGATAAAGATATTTATTTATAAATGATCATTACTTATTTTATAATAGTCATTCCAAGTAATGAAAATGTTAGTATTCAGCTTATGTTAAGATGGCATATAGTTATTTATAATTGACATTTCCGAATTTCACTGCTGCTTTCTGAAAGTATTGGTGTTGGTCAAAGGTGGGGAGGAAGATGGCAGGACAGTACTCCCAGCAATCATCCCTCACAGAAATATCAATCTGAACAACTATTCGCCTACAAAAGTACCTTCCCAAGAGGTAAGGAAACCAGTCACATTTAATTACATTTTAATAAAGCCAAAAATAAAAATGAGATAAAATAATTGGTATTATTACTGCCCATGTATCTTAAAATTACCTGATTTAACATCCCAGTTTTTAATATGAATACTGAGGCAGCTGCCTTGACCTGTGCCGATGACTTGAAGCACCCCTCTCAGTGTCAGCTGTAGCTGCCAAATGCATGACTGTGGAGTCTTTTTCATCTTACCATTAATTTTACTTCTAGGAATATGTCCTGTGGAAACACATAGGTAAGTTACATGCTCTTACACCACATGAGCATAAGAAGTCTCACAGCTGAAGCCTGAGAGTCCCATGTCCCATTTCTCAAAGGTTCCGTTTCCTGAATTCGAAGATAATAATTATATGATATTTACTTCTGGGTACAATGCCCATGCTTTCTCCAAATTCTGCAGTTCTGCCCTGCTTCTCTAGCTCATCATCACAGCACCTCATATCACGTAGTTCTCACTCTAATTCTACAAGTTCTAGATCATAACTCTATTTGCATTCATCCAGATCTAGCTTTGGAAACAAAACCCATAGTTTTTTGTAAGCTTCGTTGCTGAAATACTCAATTTAATTCCAAAATGCTAAAGAAGGTGTTACCCTTTTACTATCCGATTCCCTTAACTTCACCAAATCAGGTTGGTCAGGCTAAAATATAAAGATTTTTTGTTCTGCAAAAATAATTTTATCTTTGTTTAAAAAGATAGAAAAAAATACTTCTACGTATGAAGTAAAAGAAAAAGATACATTTCACCTCCATGCCAATCCTATTTGTAAGAGAGTATCACTGTTTAGTGTTTACCCAACCAGCATTTTTAAAGGAAGCTGTAAATTTTACATATACCAATTTGTCCTACAGAAATATCATCATATTGTAAACATCTGCAAATTCATTCATTTCACTTAACAATAGTGGCCATGTTTCCATTTCAGTACGTTTCGATCTACCTTAGTCTCTATAAAAGCTTAAAATTCAGTATTATCAATTATAACTTTTTAAACAATGCTGCAATGCACATCTTGATAATACTGCATTGCATCAATTCTGGTTATACTTATTTTCACATTTTAATATCTCTGAAATTGGGATGCATCTTTTAAACAATGAAGTTAGATTTGGTGAAATAAGATATAATCTTGAATATCTATGTAAATGTCTCTGCAGAAAAAATTCTTAGAAGTAAAATTAATGGAAAACAGATATAAGCAATTTTATTTTGATAGGTAACACTAAATTATTATTTTAAAAGGCTTTACATATTCTCTAAAAATATGAGAGTATCGTTGCATACCTGATTATAAAATATTAAATATTTTACAATGTAAAGAACAAAATACAGTATCTCATAGTTAATGGACATTTCCCTAATGAATGAGAGTGAGCATCACCTTTCTTCTAAGAATTTCTTTATCATATTCTTTGCCTAGTTTTTCCCTATTCAGTGATCTTATTGAATTACAGCAGTGCTTTGTGTTATAGATAGTATTTTCTCTCTGTCTCTCACTCTGTGTGTGTGTGTGTGTGTGTGTAAATCATATTTTTCTCCCAGTCTGTTTTTGGAGGCTTTCTTTTTAACTCTGTTTTTAGTGTATCTTGCCTACACACCTCAGAAACCACCCTTGTTGTCATCAGCATGCTTCCAATTCAATGGGCTCTTTCATCATCAACTCACCCAATCTAGCAGCAGCATTAAACTCAGCTGCCCCTTCCCTGTTAAAACACTTTCCTCTCTTGGCTTTTATGACTTTTTTCTGTCGTTTTCCCACTAACCTCATCAGTCTCCTTTGCTGCTGTATCTTGGCCTGGCTGGCTGCTCCACGCTGGTATTCCTCAAGACCCAAAGTGGATCTCTCCACTCTTCTCTTCTTACCCTTGCTTCCTAGGTGATGACATCATTGTCAGGTCTCTAAATGCCATGGCAGGTGTATTAGTTTGTTAGGACTGCCATAACAAAATATCATATACTAGATGGCTTAAACAACAGAAATTTACTTTCTCACAGCCCTGGAAGCTAGAAATTCAAGAGCAAGAGATGGTTTCTGGAGAGGCCTCCCTCCTGGGCTTGCAGATGGCCGCCTTCTTACCGTGTCCTCACAGGGTCTTTTCTCTGTGCAGATGCATTGCTGGTTTCTCTTTCTCTTCTTATAAGGATACCACCAATCCTACTGGATTAGGGTCCCACACTTATGACCTCATTTAAGCTTAGTTCCCTCGGTGAAGGCCCTGTTTCCAAATACACTCCAATTGGGAGTGGCTTCAACATATGAATTTGGGCAGGGGAGGGGCACAACTCAGTCCAAAACAGCTGGTATTTTCTTAATTTTATTCTTAAAGTTTCTCTAGCCCAGATCTCGCTTCTGTTCTCCAAACATACATCAACTGCTCACTAGACAATTCCATCAAGATGTCTCACAGATATCTTAAAGCTGATTCACAGGTCTAAGATATAATTCTTGATTTCAACTGCACATATTTCAAAGCTATGTCTCTATCTTCTCTACACAGCAAAAGACACTACCATCTACTGAACTGTATAAAATCAAAGCCTGACTGTGACTACTTTTCCTCCCTGCCCATCTTCAGTACATCACCATTACATATCACTTTCTGCCCCAAAGCTGTACTGACCCTCCTGCTCTCCATGTCCACTGCCACTACTCTGATTTAGGCTTTCAGCCCCCATCATGGCGTTACCAAAATTGTCTCCCCACCAATCTGCCCATCTCTGCTCTTGTTCTCCTAAAATCCATCCTCCCCTCAGCAACTTAGGTAATATTTTCTTTCTGACATCAAATTCCAAAATGTTCCAACACAAAAAAAGGCTGAAATAATTTTACCATGAGCACCAATGTCCTCTAAATCTGGTTGGTACCTAGATACTGCCATTAATATTTGCCTATTCTTGTGTTATCATATATTTATCTCTGTATTCATCCATCAATCCACATTATTTCTTCATGCATTTCAAAATAAATTGTAAGAATCATAACTTCCTTCCTAAATAACATGCATATGTTTACTTTTGTTTACATTTTTCCTCTACAGTGAAATTTACATACAAAGAAATACACAAATCCTGCATTTTGAGACATGCACGACTTGGTTAAACTACTTCAAGACACAGAATATTCCCACTGCCACAAAACATTCTATCTTGCCTCTTTCCCGTCAGTCCCTGCTCTCCCCTCCGCAAATCCCCAGAGGCAAGTACTATTCCAGGTTTTTTTCCTATTATAAGTTTTCTTTCTTTTAAAATTCCAAATAAACAGAAAGGTACCATATTGTGCCAGTTAATAATTTATTGCCTCTCAGCTCCAAATCCACCCATTTTGCCTGTTCTGTTAAAACAGTGTGGGCTCTGTAAAGAGTTCTCTTTTGGCAGTAGGCATAAAATTAGGCTTTATCAACAGAGGGCATAGGAGAGACACTGTAGAAGGAAAACAGATTTTGTTTTTGCTTTGTTTTGTTTTTCTTTCTGGTTTCCATGAACTCACCTGGCAGGCTCGTGTGTTACACACACAGCTTCCCCAGCCCCTGGCTCCCATGTTGTACACACACAGCTTCCCCGGCCCCCGGCTCCCATGTT